AAGATTATACTAATTCTGCTCCGTTGATAAAAGATAACGTTCGGTTTATCTGCAAAATTGAGGCACATTTGATGCTGGTAGGAAGGATCGTTAAATTGTTGAAGGTAGGTCGTACGTGTCTCCGATAAGGAAGAAGGAGCCTTTGATATAGGGGAGATCCCGAGCGAATCCATGCATCGAAAGATTTCTTTTGCTCCCTCGAAAGAGACGGATATTCCTAATTCTCTCCCCATGTTCTGCTCGTATATGGCGTTATTAGACGGAATAACGTTCTTGCTGCCAATTTTTCTACTTCCTCACGTTCCTTACGTATCCTATATTACTTTGACGCTGTTCATGGAATATTCATGGAATCATGTGGTAGGAAAAAATTGTAGATCCGTAGTTGCAGTTGCGGATCAGTGTAAACGGTAGCATTTATGATTTGACGCTTCTTCTCTCCGGATACAGTTAAAATTACCTCAATCTGTCTGTTAGTTAAAAATAAAACTGTTTTTACGTAGATCCAATTATATCAAGACGTAAGTGGTAGTTTTCAGGCCATTTTTTGTCGATTTCTCGATCTCTCGATCTGACGTGACTGGCAAGTGAAGAAATGATTGCTTTATGCAATGAACGAGCACTGCGATACGTTCGGAAAGCGGATTACGATAACATGATTTCTCTGACCCTCCCTTCCCTTTGCGCTCCGTCCGTTTCGTGAAATATCACGATTCTTCGAGTGGAAAGAGGACGAAGCGATACACATTGACCAACGGCAAGAAAAGCATCGAAAGATATGGGTGACCCGAAACGACAGTCGTTGAATTGGCAAGTATGACCAGCTAGTGGAACCTTTGGAACCAGGGAAGAATTGAACATTACAGAGTAGCCTTGTCATCGCGAATTTAACTCGATTATATCGTCATCGTGTCGAAGAAAGTTCGCGAATAAATCGAACCGAATGCCCATCTTCCTGGGGCGTGATTCGAATCGTTACACTGTAACAGTTAGAAACAGCATCTGGCCTGGTCCGAGGAAAAAGAATCGGATAACATTTCCACGCGATAAATTCATCCAATCGAGCGTCCTACGCGCAACTTCCTCTTTCGGTTTCCCCTCTCTTTTTCCAGCTTCCGCCTCGCCTCCAGTTTTGCTATTTCGTCAATCTTCTTTGCTTCGTTCCTACATATGAATCACCGAGCGTTATGGAAATAGTAGAAAGATTCGAGCATAAGAGTGAGAATGTCGAGATAATTAAAGTCGTGCAAAGAAGCGTGCTTGTCGCTGGTAGGGGAGAGAAAGGAAAAAAGAGTTTTTCATGAAACGCAGATTGCAGATCCCGGCTTTCCGTTTATATTCGCAAACAGATTCGCAAGTAGATTCGCAGGACAGGATTTATCGCGGTGGGCATGGCCGAGAAGCAAAGTATCCGGAAAATATCGTGTGTTATTCCTGTGACGCGCGGTTCGATAATCCAGCAGTGTACCGGAGGAAAAAAAGCAAAAACACGAAATGATCTATCGCACGGTCGACATTCTTCGCCAGACTGGACTCCATTAAAAAGTTGCCGGGAGGAGAATCCAGGTCCAGCGGTGGAGGAGCATTTTGCTGGCTGGACTTCCGATCGTAAAAGGACTGATTCGTATTCCAGCCGTGTCGGGAAACTTTGCGATAATTCGATGTCTCGACGACTGCAAGAGCAGCAACAGCAGCTTCTAGCCCCCAACCAGCGTCATCATGGTCGGACCAAAGCGGCCTACGTGACTTTTTCGCTTCCCCTCTTAATTCCTTCCAATCGTTTTTCCACCCTTTTTCTGCAATTCTAGCCGTCTCTATCCAAGAATCTATTTTTTAATGCCAACAATTAGTTTTATTTCATTCGTAACGCTAGCCACCTGCCTTTCCAGAATTATTTACCTTTAATTACTCTTCGATTTACCCGACGACGTATCGATACTTTTTCTTTTACTTTTTCGATACAGGCAGTTGTTCATTTATCATCATGCTCTTCTGTTTTTCTGTTTTTCTGTTTTTCTTCGGTTAAATCGCTCTAGCTGTGTTGTTTCCTCGATCCCCGGCTTCATATTTCAATTCTTGTTCCTCCATTTTCTTCTCGGATTCATCATGCCGGCAGAAACGATTGCAATTTGTCCGCACGATATCGTGTTCTAAATTCCGTATTCTATCATGCCGCGATCCTTCCTGTAATTCTTTCCATCTTCTCTCCACTCTTTATCCTTGTTACTTCATTTATATTTATGAAATTCAAATTCTTTCGTGATCGATCAATCTGCCTTATCTCGATGTGTTTCGTTGCTGGTTCGATATGAAAACATTTTCATTTAGGTGAAGGAAAATTTGAATTAACAAAAGAAGAATCCAGTCGGAAATCGTTTTTCTACATTCACAATTTTCAGGGACGTTTAACACCGTTTCCTTTTTCTTTCCTATTTTTCCTCGTTAGGTTTCCCGCTCATTTCTACTCGCAGTACAACAGCTTCTTTTTCGTTCGTTCCGGTTTCTCTAAACTCTAAACTGTTCGGTCTCGTTTCTCGCGCGTAATTTTCAAGTGGAATTTCTTGGTGCTCCGCGTGCCGGAACGAAGAGGGCAGTTTTTTTCCTAAAGCTTACCGCGCGAAAGGTTAAACCGACTGCTATCTAGCCGAGCTGAAATTATCGGGTAGAAATTGAATTCGCGCCTCGTTTAATTTCAACCATTTTCTGTTCGCAACGTCAAACGCTTCTTGTTTCTCGAGAAATACGAATTTAACGTTATCAGAGTAGGTGCAGAAAGTAGAAAGAGATAGTAATTTCTCCGAAAAACATTGTAGAATTGAATTTCAAGTCTACAACTTTGCCTTTAAATTTCTAAGTTTCGTGTGTCGCCGACCTTTCGCCGACGTATTCTTGGTGTATCTACTGTATAGGGGCACATTTCTTGAGGAGTTCTTTGAGACAGAGAGGAACTTAATATGTACATTTAACCGGATAATCGCGACGAAAAATAGGTGAACACCTGAATCGAAATTCGTTAGGCTGTAATTCGATTAATCGGAGTATCGATTCGTTCATCTGGCTGAATCGAATTTCATGGCGAAACGTTCTTCATCGATAATAAATAAAGGCGCTTGATTTGTTCTCTAGAACAGGACGAATTTCCGTTGAATCGAAGTTCTGTCGTAATTGTGCGTAATGCGATTATGGAAGAATCGTGTCGGATGGAGTTCCGATAAAATTCAACGCGAATAATTTTTTCTCTTTGCCTGCGACAAAGTTCGATCATTAATCAAGTTTTTCCGCTTGATCGGGTCTTTGAACGAGCTCTGTCGATTCGTTAACGAATCGGGTCGCTGGATTTCTCCGATGTAATGTGATTTTATTGGATAAATTTTTCAACGGAGTATGTATCTCGAACCGTAATAGTTTAGTAAAGAAACCGATTGTTTCTCCGGTTACATGACGGGAATATCGATATTTGCTGGAATCCAGTGAAGATGCAACGAAGGAAAATGAAATTTCACAGCTCAACTTCTGCTCGAAGCTTAAACATTGATTTACCGGTTATTTTGTGTTGCTTGATTTAATATTAAACTTTATAAATATTTCTCAGCCGGTCAGAAAATGGCTGGTTTAATATCGAATTTGCGGTGGTAACTGATTTCACCGATTTATCTCGTTGCATTTTTCATCCCGCGTATCTATTGTATTTATTTTTAAGTTAAAAATAAATTGGAAGAGTAGGGGAAGAAACGTTTGGTTAACTTTTCTCGCGTGAGTGAAAGTCAGGTGACAAAGTTGAACGCTTTGTTCAGTGTATAGGCATTGAAAGGATAGTTTGGTTGGACGGCCAGGTAAACGATCTCTTCTCGATGTCTCGACATTCCGCGTAAAGATTCATGAAACTTTGTTATTTCAAAAGTTTTAATGCTTGTTCTTTCTTTCGTTCTTTCGTTCTTTCGAACGACACTTTCTCTGTTCGCGGGGGTGTTGCTAGACAAGAGATAGTAGACACAGTAGTGGATCGTATCTTTTCCGAGTTTCCGAGGCAAGCCGCGAATATCTAGCGAACTTCCGACAGCGCAGAAACTCATTTTCCGCATCGACGGCCGCCGAAATTGTCGTGATTTGCCTGCTGGAAAACGGCCCGTAAAAATCTATGGCTCGGCTATTTTCTCTACGTTCGACAAAGCCTCTTTCTCTCTTTCGGTCCATCCGAAAAATCTTTTACAATGGTGCAACGCGATCCCTTGTTGCTCTTAAAAATGTTTCTATACGCGTGTTTCTTTTCCAGTGTGTAGTATAAAAAACATTATCGATAATAATTTATTAATTACGCTATATCTGCTAAACGGATCTGATAGAAAGGTGACGAAGAAAGGGGTAACTGAAGAACAATTGATAAAAAAAAGGGTAAGAGGGGTAGGTAGAAGATAGCCGAAGAAATGGGGAGGAATGGGATAATAAATTGGCCGTACGAAACGTGCCAGTTCAGCGTTTTATAAGTTTCCGATGGGGAATAGAGAAGAAGCCCTTCAAGGGCCGTTTATGAGAAGGATCTTGTCTCTGATACGATCTGTTTCATAGGAGAAACGTAATTTTTAAGTAATATTTCTTTCTATTTTTTTTCTCTTCTCGCGAAGATGTGTCGTCGCGGTCAGCTCGATATTTTTCAAGAGGCAATATTAAATCGTGGAGACAAGGTCTGGATACAAAAACGAAATGAAATGTTTCCTTGAAAAGTATTTTCTTTCTTCGTCACATATTAAGTAACGTTATTGTCTACACTATGTGTATAGTTTCACTGACACAGTTCTATCCTTATCCGATTTATTTCCCCGTTAACTGTGCGTTTGCCGAAAGATAAAGCTATCGGAATTCTATTACTTATCGTTAGAAATACTTTAACGCGCTGGCTGGAATTATTCCTCGTGTGTTTGCCCCATCGAGATAATTCATTAAAATAATAATTTTGCTTGATTCAGAGTTGAAAATAAAATTTTATTTCCGTTCGTTTGCAGAACTCCGTTATTCAACCTCGTTGCTTTTGTTCGCTTCAATTTTGGTGAGTACGAATTTTCCTACATACCTTTCTTTTGTTATCGAGATTCGTATCGCGTTGAGTTGCATTGCGTTCTGATGCGTTTTGCGTTGCGTTCAAATGAATTTCGTTTAATTTCCATGTATATAAAATAGAAACTCATGGCCATATACTAATCGCGAAACCGTCGAATAAATGCTTATAAATGGAAATAGTCTCTCGCCGCTTTTGTTGATCGAAATAAATGACTGAAAATTGCTGGACCATTCGCATTCCATATAGAAATGTCTGATATTTCAGTGTCCCATAAAGAGATTAAACTGGAACAATCTATTTTCGATGAAAGTAAACGGGACAGGTTTCGCGTATTATCGGCGGAAACGACAGCGCAGCGAACTGTTTCGATCTTTGTTTCGCGTCGATAACAAGAAAAGCATCGTTCGAACGTGACAGAAATCGATCGGTTCCTCGGTTGCTCGCTTCTCTTTCGAGACCGTTGCTCTCCCGTCCCCTCGAGCAGAAATTCTCCGGAAATGACTGTTCCTCGTGTATGTTCCGGCAGTCAGTCGACGAGATTTATCGCGAATTTTCGTGCCTCGATCTAGAGAACCGGTCCAAGCTTTCGCATGCACCTCGATGCACTTTCGTGCATTGCCACGCGCATTCGATGCACTCGTACGATAAAGGCTAACCTCGTCTCGTCTCGCCTCGCCTCGCCAATAATTTATACGCTCTTTCGGTTGTAATCCTTCATTCTTTTGTTACAAACTCCGAAACTTGCTGCAATACGCGTGCATGTTGGATGAACGAAAGAAAAAGAAAGGAATTTTTCAAAATCATGCCAACACGTTTTTTTTTTTCTTTTTCTTTGGGGCTGATAAGAAATCCGAAATTTCTTGGACCTCTGGGACCTCAAAGACTCGAATGATTTATCGTCGATGCACGCGTGGACGAGGATAGATTTATGCGAAGCAATAAAATCAACCTTGATCCATGGGCCACATAATGCAGGTGATGCGTTTTAAACACTGTCGTCATACATACACTGCTCCATGAATACTACGTGTCACGCGTGATGTACGAGCTATTCTTATCGTGGAAATCATTTTCAAACTGTTCATAACCGGTCCATCATTCTACACGGTTTATTAGACAGGACCAAACTCGTATCAAGTAATTTTCCCAAAATTGAAGTAGATCCATTTCCAATTATTAGTCTCTTCGTATGTGTAGAAGAGATAATAGTTTCGGGTGTATGAACGCGAACCTTGAATGGTTGTATAGAAGGTTACGCGGGGGTTGCACCGCGTTAAACTTTCTCTCCCCATGCTTTTTATTATTTATTAGCGAAAAAGAAGCGAGACGAGGGTGAAATCTCGTCGAAAATATCCACGGATTGAAGGGTAGTGTAGTAAAAGGGGAAGGGTGCACTCCCCTTTCCCTGTTTTTTTCTCTCTCGGTAACCACTCTGTCTCCTTACCCCTCTGCGTCATCCCTTATACAGCGTTGCATTGTGCGTGTCCCATTGTGTCAAGTCCACGAGGGTAGCTTCCCTTTTCCTCCCTCTTTTTTTTCTGCAGCATAACCACCTTACACTTTCTCCAGCCAGATATACGTGTGTAGGTAGTCTCTTCTTTTTCTTTTCTTCGGTATCCCTTCTTCCGGTTTCTCTGCGCGACTCTTTCGTGGGCGTATTTGTTTAACAGAAAACAATTGCGGGAATGTTTTTTTGTATAAGGCTAATATTTATTTGCATGGAAAAATTTTGATTCAAGCATAAAGAAGTTCTGAAAAAAAAAAGTATAAACAAGTATGTAAATAAGTTTTTCTCTGTATGTTTGTTCGCGTTCTTTCCTCGCGCATACCCTTCTGGTTTATTCTAGTCGACTATATTTTTCATTCGTCGAATATTTTTACGCAATTTCATTTCTCTTTACTGAACTACCACCATGTTTCTTTCATCTTCCGTTTCTTTTTCACGATCTTTTGTTCTGTTTTCCACGGTCGTTCTCCCTGCACGGATTTCGCTGCTTCCTTTTGCATCTTTCTCTCCTCATATATTACTTTATAACCTAGCCACCCTTCTCATTTCTATTTCGCTTTCCTCTTCTTTCCCTATCTTCTGCTTGTTTCTGCCCATTTTTCACTCCGCGGGGTTTCTTTTCCAACTTCCCCAACGCTTCCGTTCTCTTTCTCTCTCTGTTTTTCATTCCTTCACATCTTCTTACCACTTCATCCCCTTTCTCTATTTTCGCATGCCAGCCTCGCATGTCATAGTTCATTCCTTTTTTTTAACCTTTTAATTCGCGTTTGTATGTTAACTTTCCTCTTAACATCGTCGTTTCACGTTTCCTCATAACTCAACCAGTTGCCTACTAAATCATACTTCTTTTTTCCTACCTTGTTATCTACAACGTGTTACCTCGTCCGTTTCTTTTTCTAATTTTTTTTTCACGTTACCACAATTTACATTCAACCCTAGATATACCTTTGTTACCTTACGTTTTATCGTACATTTCTATTATTTCTTTTTTCTGCCACATTTCTCACCGTTTACCTTGAAAATTTCTGTCTCTAAAATACTAAAAATGATATTTTTCCAAATATCAATCTGTCAGAACTCGTGAAAGAAAAAAATGATAATAATATTAAGGGCGCGGAGGTGTGGGTGGTTGTCGGGCAACAACGCAGAATGTAACTCGCTGCGAAAGCGGCATCGCAGAAACAAAAGATTCAATTTTACAAACACGCTCCGCGTGTTCCGCTGCCTTCGCTCGCAATGGGGGTAGTTTTGCCATACTAACGAGCCACCCCTTTAACTTAGGCGAACACGAAACAGCTCCCGCCACACTCCCCCTTTTTTCGGTGGTAACAGGCGTCTCCTCCCTCCTTGAGGGGCAAAGAAGGGACTCGGGGGTGTTGTTTCAAAGAGCAATGGGGTGGGTGGCAGAGGAAGGAGGAAGGAGTATGTGGCATAGCAAACGGTTTTGGTTAAATTGTAAGGAGGTGCAAGGAAACGAAGATGAAGAGAGGAGAGAGACGAGGAATGAAAATTGATGAGAAAGAAGGAAATTGGTGGTGTAAGAGAAACAGAACAGTGTACAAGATAGAACCTTTTTGTTGTTATACTATTTTGTGCAATCGAGCCGCTACTCTATGCACCGTATTCGGCGATAGAAGGGACTGAAAGCGAGGGGCGAAGGGACTTGGCCACCAAATCGAAATTGCGTTTCTATCGAACGACTTAACGAGCCCTGAAGTCGAACAGCTTTATTCTTCGCTGAAGAAGAATGGATCGAATTTCCAAGAACTTGATTGTGCTTTACTTTGTCGAGTAAGCTCGACAGCAATTTATTTTCCGACGAGATGGTTGGGTTTTCGGGGTCATCGTTGTATGCTTAGAATTGTGTCAGCGATTGTTCAAAGTGATTTCGCAGCGATAAAACAGAAGGTAGAAGTAGAACAAATCATCTAGTCCTGAAATTTCACAAAACCGCGCGTTTAACATCTAATTTCACGACATGCTCGCAAACCACCACGAATTTTAATTACTACCAACTATGTATACCGCGTCTGCTGGTTTCGTCTCGTATAATACGTCCACCCTCCTGCGCGACACGTGCTCGTGAAAAAAAGCAGGGGGGTGAAAGGGCGGCCTGGACAAAGGGATTCGCGTCCGCAACGAGGACTGTTATATCGAAACGTCTCCCACGAAGAAAGAAGGGTGTCAACACCGAAATTTATTTACCAAGCTATATTATTTCGTACACTGGGGACACAAAATCCGATATGAAACGCGAAAAGTTTTCCTTCTTTTTTCCGAAACTCTAATTCGCGTATTGATCGATATCAATTGGTCTGCTCCGTTGTCTAGAAGGAGGTCGATCAATCAGAAGAAACCATTAAAGAAGCTAAACATCCATCGACTGTCTCGGAGGATATTAAATTGATGAACGAGCCGGAAACTTAATTTATCGTACAACTTAGGATCGGTGAGTTTCAGGAAAATTGACGGCCATCGAACGGCATTGGTAATTGCTCGCCGCCGCGCCGCGTCGCTTTTTTTGCGATCGAGCTTGTATCGCTGCAGGATTTTCGCGAGTCATCGGCGGATCATCCATCTTGCGAGAGAAATGGAATCGGACAGTTTCGCGAACTTCCTTCCGAGGGAAACGTCGTTGTTCTTCGTGCGACCGGAAGCTCGCTCTTTCAACTCGAGAAGCGATTATCCTTTGGTTTGTAATGCAGATATTCGAATGGCGCGATTGTTATATCGACAAATAGGTTGGTTGCCGTGGAATGGTAATCGAATCTTGGACTGTTTGGCCAGTCGCGTTCGATTCGAATTTATTCGCAGTCAATTCTAGCAAGGGAAGTGCTTTCCCGCTTCATCAGCGCGATAACCTCCAGCTCCGATTCAGCATTTTGTTCGTTACAACGTAAGAAAACAGGAACGAGGTAAACTGCCGTTATACGATCTGATGTTGGAAAACGGGGAGATATCTTAAATCTAGGGATGCTTGCTTTTATCCGATTCTCCGATTCGAAAATTAAGCTTCGTAAGTGCGGTTTGCTCTGCGAAACGGTCTGCCGGATATGGGGAGTGGAGACGATATCGTTCGCATAAATGGCGACCATGTTCGATAGAAAACCATGTCCTTCCCCGTTTCCCTTTCCTTTTTATTGTAATAAGCGCTACTATGAAAATGTTGATTGTCTTATTTACGTCCTCCATTAGACCGTCGCGTCGCGTGCTGGAAAGCAGCACTTGCGATCATGTCGCAAACGAATAACGCCCTTCCTTTTTCTCTTTCTCTTTCTCTTCTTTTTTTCTTCTGCCCGTTAACCTCCGTCTCGTTTGTGAGTCGCGGTAGCAACACCTTTTGTCTTAGCCCGTCCTTCCATCATTTTAATCTTTATCTCTTTCCGGTCCCGTGCTCCTCGCTTTTTTCATTCCCCTTTTGCTTCATCCCTTTCCCTCCAGCCTGCCATCTGTTGACCTTCCTGCTTTCGTCTACCGACTA